TGGCCATTGGGACGAGCAACTGTTCCCATTGATTCTGAAGGGGTTTCAACAGTGGTAGGCATTGTCACAGCCGTGGAAGTAATATTTGAACGCAGATTATAATTAAGTGCACCTGGCATCAGAAATAGTATACACAAAAATAAACACAAAAAAATATCAACTTGGCTAAAGTAAAAATGGCAGAAATAAAATTATTAAATTGGGCTAGGCAAGAAAATAATTAAGAACAAGCAAATTGTAAACTAAATTTAGCAATCTTTCATTAAAAAAATGACTGGAATTAGATGTATGTAAATTAATTAAACCAGACTAAGCACAGCAATTGAGAATATAAAAACTGGAAGTGCAATTGCAAAATTTCATTAAAAAGATTCAACACAACAAGTGGCAATGCAAGAAATATGGATGTAGCACATAAACTGGACACAGGAATGTATATAACTGCTAAAAACAATTATTTCTTACTTCTCTCACCTTTGAATTCAGTAATGACACTAGTAACAATTAATGAATAATGGAATCATATGCAGGGAATATTGAAATGTCTCAGAGAAACTGTGGGCCTCTGGAGTACTAAACCGGCTCCAATATTTAACAAGTCACTGAAAGATTAATTCATAAGATATTTTGGATATATTTACGTTAAACCTCATTAAATCATAGCACACGATATCTTAGCTCATATTTACTTAACTCAGGGCTGCAGGATTTGCAATATAACAGTGGCCAAAACGAAAAACGGTGACCAGACGTGTGAAGAGGACCATGTGAGGGCTTGTTTACAAACTGGTGCGATGGGAGCGCTCCTGGCGGCGATGGCGCGAAACTCAGGGACCCCACACTGTTGATGCTGGAAGTGTGAAGATAAATTCTGACGACGACGATATTACGACGATGTCGGTGGAGAAACACGATTGGGAGGCAGGAGTTCACACAAAATGATGTAGCAGGGGCTGGTGGCGAGGTGTGAGCTGGAGAGGGAGGCGAGGTGTGTGAGCCTGGGGAGGCGACACTAGTCAAACAATTGCAGTCCACCAAATATTCTCAAGGAACAATACAGCACATACGATGATCAGGTGATGCTTGCGACGATGACTGACCACGATTTCAGTAGCTTGAACACTCACAAAGCTTAGATACTGTCAGCTTGGGTGGCGGTGGTGGTGGTGGGTGCACTAGGTGGTTCCCACGTGGTGGCGCGAGATTCAAAAATGGCTGGCGCGGAAGCTTCCTTCCTCCTCACTGATGAATGAGCGTTCTCACAGGAAAATATTGACCCTTACTTCTGAAACGTTGGCCTGGAGTAGTGGTTGATGGCAGGACCCCGGTCTGGCACAATATTTGATGCGTGGGTGGCAGGATGGCGGCTTTTGGCGGTGGCGGTGGCGGCGGTTATGGCTGGAACACGAGGCGATGCTGGGTACTTGAACTTTTGTTTCCAGAAAAAAATTTCTGGGTCCCACTGCTGCTACCAGTATTCGTTTGCCTTGTTTGGGTAGAAGGTAGACACAGTAGTCGCTTCTGTATATATTTATTGACTGAGATTGCAAGGTATATATCTGCCTAGCCGAGGTCCTTCTACTCTGAGCCTGTGAGGATAACTGCGGCTGCTGGGAGCATGCTTGATGCTCCTCTGTCTGGCATGACGTCAGAGGCCTACTTGCCTGTGATTGGTTACATTTCAACTGACAGAATTTTGAGTATAACAGATGGGTAGTGGGAGGGAGTGGTAGATGGGTAGTGGGAGGGAGTGGTAGATGGGTAGTGGGAGGGAGTGGTAGATGGGTAGTGGGAGGGAGTGGTAGATGGGTCGTGGGAGGGAGTGGTAGATGGGTAGTGGGAGGGAGTGGTAGATGGGTAGTGGGAGGGAGTGGTAGATGGGTAGTGGGAGGGAGTGGTAGATGGGTCGTGGGAGGGAGTGGTAGATGGGTAGTGGGAGGTGGGTTTACGTGGGTCGTAAAAATTCACTCCACTCCCGACTAACAAGTCATATTTCTCTTGGTACATAGCCTAGAAGATGCCTAGTTTTGTTTAAGAATAATTAAAGGGAAGGGAGATGCCGAAGATTTGAATTATTTAAGTTTTAAGATCGTGGGGGAGGAGGAACGAACGAGTGAGCTCTGTAGCCAACATGACGGATGACTCAGGTGGGACGCGAGGAAATCCCGCCAAAATATTCCAGAGGCGAAGATACCGCGTCTCCTGGTTATAGGGAATGTGATTGGTCGGATACGGGGGAGGTGTGTCCATTCTGTCCAATCAGAGAGCGCCCATGGCGTGACGCAGTGTGACGTCAGCGTCCTAAGCTCTTGGCGGGAAGCCGCCAGCTGTCACTAGCCACCTAGGGGACAACGCGATAGGATATGTCGCACGTCGGTCCCACAAGGGTGTAGTTTAAACCACCAGAAGGGCCATTAAGTTGAGCAGTACTCAGGAGGCTGCGTAAAGGAATCACTGGTCAACCTGTAGAGGAAGAGTTGGAGAGCTGGACCGTGACTGGAGGTCACAATTAGCTCTGTGGCGTCAGTGTACACCTGCATGTCTCGAAGGGCGGTGCTGGGGGATCGAGGGTGGGCCCACAGGCCGCTCCAGGTGGAGGATACTGGTGGAAAGCCCTGGGTGGAAGTTCTGGTCAACGTGTCTCCTACGGAGAAGTAACTTGCGAGCCCCGCCACTTCTACAAGGGAGAAAGGGTCCAGTAATCAACGTGTGGAGATAGACGAAGGTCGCCAGTAGACCTTCGGCTGGGAGGTCTACTCCCACACGAAGGTCTGGGAGACATTCGCAGAATTCCAGTGGGATCTTCAGAGGTCAGTCGTCGGCCGTTCACCAACCAGGAGGGAGAAGAGATCAACCGTGATTTGACTAAAGAAGACTGAAGCTCCTCTTCAGTCTTCCTTAGTAAAATCACGGTAGATGATTTTCCTCCTTGCTCTGCAGGACCCACACACACGTCCTAGTGGGAGCATCTACCAACCGCATCTGGTAGGGAGCATCTACCAGATTGAGGGCAACCTTCAATAATTAGGTAGATTCAGTTCCCTCCCCATTCCCCTTGTTTGACAGCAAGTGAATCTAAATTCTTTTTATAACGAGGACTTATATTCTTGCGGCGAGAGCGAGCCAAGTTAAGACATTCAAGTATATGTACGAATTAGGGAAACATATATATAATGCTTGCCTGGGACTGGGTTTGTACAATGAACACTATTAAGAATACTTCCAGCTGAAGCTGCCTGCCACTGTATCAACAGAAATGATCTGGCCTCGACTGAAGGAATGTAGATGTTTATCTCTCAGAATGTTCGGTAATACGTTTATTGCTTGTGATGTGTGTCTATGTATGTATTAACACGATGTACTGAACGGGGTGAGAATAGCTTGAGCTACCTCATCCCTTTGTGTGTATTTTACCTCAATAAACTTATTTCAATTTCAGTTTCAATTCAATTTCGACTGAAGTACTCTACTTGCTCAGAGTGGCGACCAACGCTACTGACTTTTCTGGCGGGAAGATCGCCAGCAGGGAGCCCGGGTCAGAGCCAGTGTATGTTTCCATTGTAGACCCGGCCGGTTTACCTCGCTCACCTCGGGGTATACTCGGTTTACCTCGCTCACCTCGGGGTATACTCGGTTTACCTCGCTCACCTCGGGGTATACTCGGTTTACCTCGCTCACCTCGGGGTATACTCGGTTTACCTCGCTCACCTCGGGGTATCCAAAGGCTGAGTGAGGGACTCTTCCTCTTGTGTGACTAAGGTGCTCCTTTTAAGTGGATAATGGCACTGTAACAGGGTATAAGACCCGGAGGCTGCCCCAGTGGTTAGTGGGAGAGAGGGAGGGGGTATGTGGGTAGTGGGAGGGACGGGTAGATGGGTATAGTGGGAGGGACGGGTAGTGGGAAAGGCAATAACGTGATGTGAGTGGAACAGGTGTAAAATAAGAGGACGTAATTATAAGAAGCAGGAGGCTATAACTAGTGTTATAACACTTGTGTTAGGTGCTATTATGCAAGAGGTATATTACACAAGAGCCGTTAGGGAAGGGATCTTACACAAGAGCCGTTAGGGAAGGGATCTTACACAAGAGCCGTTAGGGAAGGGATCTTACACAAGAGGTATTAGACAAATGCTATTTTGCAAGTCTTATTACACAAGTGATAAAACGCAGGTGTTTTAACGCAGGTGTTTTAGCGCAGGTGTTTTAACGCAGGTGTTTTAACGCAGGTGTTTTAACGCAGGTGTTTTAACGCAAGTGTTACAACGCGAATAAAGAGGGGAGGAAGGAGGATTATACCGAAAAACACAGTAACAGACAATATGGTAACTTTATCAACAAATACATAAAATACAAAATACAGCAGATGATACACAAAGATCCTGGTAGAATAGCAGTAAGGTGATATAATCATTACATACCAACATACATATACATAAATGAATTGAGAGAGAGAGAGAGAGAGAGAGAGAGAGAGAGAGAGAGAGAGAGAGAGAGAGAGAGAGAGAGAGAGACAGACAGACAGACAGACTTATGGTCAAGAAGGAAGATACAGATTGATTGCTAAGGACATAGAGATGGGTGAACCAGGCAGGTCTAGTTACACTGATGGACAAGACAAATGGAGATTAATTGATGGTCAAGCAGAATTAGAGATAGACTGATTGTGAAGGAGCTAGAATGAGAGAGATGATAGACTGAGGCTCAATCGAAAAAAAAACATCACGACCACCCCATCTTTCACCCCCCCCCCTCATCACTCACAACCTTTAACCCTGTCCACGGAGAACAGAAGAAAACGTACACATGCTGGTTAGCATTGTAAATGTCTGGCCACGTCTGTGGTAGAAAATAATAATAATACAAAAAACAGTAACTAGCACAAGACCCCCCATAAGACACCAGGGGGGACCCTATACTCACACGACCCCCCATAAGACACCAGGGGGGACCCTATACTCACACGACCCCCCATAAGACACCAGGGGGGACCCTATACTCACACGACCCAAGCCTTAGAGGACACCGCTGCGTGTCCATGGGAAAGTCATGAAGATTCATGGGACAGTTGGCATTGATGGTGAGCCTGAGGAGAGAGAGGCAGCATGTTACTGATGGAGGAACACCACCGAGCATCCCCTACTGGCACCACTCCCTACAATCATCCCAAGTCCTACCTGGCTAAGAATGATATCATTCCCATCTTCCCAATATAGTTCCCAAACACACTTGCTTACTTACAGTTCTGGTGCTGAATGTAGAACAAGAAGAACATCATATAACTTGGAAATAAGCTCATTTTATCACGACATTAAAGTTCAAATATGTGAGGTGTGAGGAAGTCATCTGTGTGTCCTCTAGATGCATTCTGCAACTGGTTATCTTGAGGTTATCTTGAGATGATTTCGGGGCATTTTTAGTGTCCCCGCGGCCCGGTCCTCGACCAGGCCTCCACCCCCAGGAAGCAGCCCGTGACAGCTGACTAACACCCAGGTACCTATTTTACTGCTAGGTAACAGGGGCATAGGGTGAAAGAAACTCTGCCCATTTGTTTCTGCCTCGTGCGGGAATCGAACCCGCGCCACAGAATTACGAGTCCTGCGCGCTATCCACCAGGCTACGAGGCCCCACGAGGAGGTGTGAGGAAGTCATCTGTGTGTCCTCTAGATGCATTCTGCAACAGGTGTTTAAATACCAGGTACCTATTGAGTGATAAATGAACTGATGCATTAGGTGAAAGGAAACGTGCCCACTCACTTATGTCAGATATGGACTGTTGCCGGTTTAAGTGCACTATAATTCTTTTTACCGCATCTCTTTTATCATTCTGTGTACGAGACTTTGCTTTGAGACCTCTGACCAGGGGCCAGATTCACGAAGCAGTTACGCAAGCACTTACGAACGTGTACATCTTTCCTCAATCTTTGGCGGCTTTGTTTCCAATTATTAAACAGTTAATGAGCACCGAAGCACCAGGAGGCTGTTTATAACAATAACAACAGTTGATTGGCAAGTTTTCATGCTTGTAAACTGTTTAATAAAAGTAAACAAAGCCGTCAAAGATAGAGGAAAGATGTACACGTTCGTAAGTACTTGCGTAACTGCTTCGTGAATCTGGCCCCTAGTTCGTATTTCTTTTATAGCATCAGAGTTCCACAGTATCACAGTGTCACAGCTGTATCACAGTGTCACAGCTGTATCACAGTGTCACAGCTGTATCACAGTGTCACAGTTGTATCACAGTGTCACAGCTGTATCACAGTGTCACAGCTGTATCACAGTGTCACAGCTGTATCACAGTGTCACAGTTGTATCACAGTGTCACAGTTGTATCACAGTGTCACAGCTGTATCACAGTGTCACAGTTGTATCACAGTGTCACAGCTGTATCACAGTGTCACAGCTGTATCACAGTGTCACAGTTGTATCACGTGTATGTACGGTGTCTGCCTGCATCTCTTCACTGCCTAGTTTATTTCAATTGTTAACTTATCTGACGCTGAGAAAATTCTTTGTCTCTGAGGCTCATTTACGTACTTATTCTGTATCCCCTTATTCGTGTGTGTGTGTGTGTGTGTGTGTGTCTGTGTGTGCGTGTGTGCGTGTGTGTCTGCGTGTGTGTGCGTGTTAGATAGAAATATATGTATTAACCATGATCACTGGTAAATAGACCGGGAGTCTGTACAACAGACAATGGGACAGTAAGAAAGGCGGGGTCCAAGAGCACAACTCGATGTTCAATAGAGTTGTACCCTTGGCACCGAGGTCCCACCGGTCGAAAGCGTCGAGAACACTCACTCACCTTGACGAGTAGAGAATCCTGCCATTCTGGTAAAGACGGATGAACTTGTTGGGGGTGGTGATGAGGTGGACGTAGCTCCTCATCCCGTTGTAGATGAAGGTGTCGGGCTTCCACAGCTTGTCGAGGACGGACACGGAGAGCGTGAAGGCCTCCTCCAGGTCTGAGAACGCCAGGCGCTCGTCCACCCAAGACTGGCGGAAGTAACAGTCCATGGAGTAGGTCTGTTGAGGAGATGGGACCACCTTGCTTAACAATCCGGCATATAGTAGTTAAATTCAGATAATTATCGGGTGGCGCAAAAGATTTGACTACATTAATTCTGCCTAAATATGGCCATATTTAGCAAATCTCTCAATATTTATCCACGTCTCCCTTTCTCCCCATTTCTTTCCTTCCTCCCTTCGTGTATGTAGAGAAGAAAGATAAGAGGTAAATACCCCCTTTCACCACACCAGATTACCTGCTGCCAGCCTCCTCTGGAGGTCTGTCTATTCACCGGAGGTCTACAAGACCCGTCGAAAATTCTCCAATATTATCACTGGGTATCCTTTCTTAAAGATACTGCATCCCATCCTTCTATTTAGATAGTATCTATTGTGACGATCGTCAATAGTCAGAATTCGTACGTTCTTAGCTTTCAGATAGTATTTTTTTTTTTTTTTTTGCAGGGATATTCCTGGGCGGGCCCTAAGCCTCTGGCTGGCCCACTGGGCGGGCCCTAAGCCTCTGGCTGGCCCACTGGGCGGGCCCTAAGCCTCTGGCTGGCAAACTGGGCGGGCCCTAAGCCTCTGGCTGGCCCACTGCGCGGGCCCTAAGCCTCTGGCTGGCCCACTGGGCGGGCCCTAAGCCTCTGGCTGGCCCACTGGGCGGGCCCTAAGCCTCTGGCTGGCCCACTGGGCGGGCCCTAAGCCTCTGGCTGGCCCACTGGGCGGGCACTAAGCCTCTGGCTGGCCCACTGGGCGGGCCCTAAGCCTCTGGCTGGCCCACTGGGCGAGCCCTAAGCCTCTGGCTGGCCCACTGGGCGGGCCCTAAGCCTCTGGCTGGCCCACTAAGTGTTGCTTGTTTCTGTTTTACTTGGGCGGAGTATGAGTATTTATGACTCTTATGGTCGCTTCAGTAAGATTCAGATAGTAGTTTAAAACTAGTAAGGAATTATTTAAAAATAAATGAAGCTAAAACCCAAATATTCCTAGGCCTAGTATTGCATACATATGTACTATATTAGGCCTTAGATAGCGTGAATTAGGCCTAGGGAGGATAGGATAGGTTGGTTTAATTTGTCAAAGCAACACGTCAAAAATAATTTTCCGGTTTGTCCAACTCAATAGGTCAGATTTCAAGGGGGTATAAGGAGTCTTGTGTGTGTGTGTGTGTGGTGTGTGTGTGTGTGTGTGTGTGTGTGTGTGTGTGTGTGTGTGTGTGTGTGTGTGTGTGTGTGTGTGTGTGTGTGTGTGTGTGTGTGTGTGTGTGTGTGTGTGTGTGTGTGTGTGTGTGTGTGTGTGTGTGTGTGTGTGTGTGTGTGTGTGTGTGTGTGTGTGTGTGTGTGTGTGTGTGTGTGTGTGTGTGTGTGTGTGTGAAGATAATGCAGTCTATACCCTTGAAGGATCATCACCCAGGTCGCCTCTGCACCTTGTGACACCTTTGACATGTTGCCACCCAAAATCCCTGTCTATTCCCTCAACTGGTTCAGAATTTAATCCTGCTTCACTTCCTTGGGGATTTTCCATTTTCCCATTCAATCTCTGTGTGGTTGAAAGGAAGGGAACTATCAGGGGGAAAGCGCCAAGGCATTACGACTATATAGCATTAGAAGGGGTCAGGATAAGGACTTGGGATGGGATGGACGGGGGGAAAGGAATGGTGCTCAACCACTTGTGGACGGTCGGGGATTGAACGCCGGCCTGTACGAAGCGAGACCGTTGCTCTATACCGTTCAGCCCAAGTGGTTAGACCTGTATGGTTGAAGTCGCTCAGAACTATAGTATCTCGAGTTTCATTGTAATAGCTTAGATCTGTCACACATTGACTTATGCAATAAGGCTGTTGCTCCCAGAGTCCCTGTTATTTGTTGTGAGAGCTCTGTATATACCGCTCCAAGCAACAGCCTGTTGGACCAAGCTCTCACAAATCAAGCCAGGCCCCGGGCAGGGCTTGGGGAGTAGAAGAACTCTCAGAACCCCATCCACCAGGTATCAACCAGGCAGGTAAATGCTGCCATTACTCTCTGGCTTATGTCACCTTCAATCTCTATAATGTATTCAATGAACTCTTCGTTATTGGGTACTGCACATTCATCAAGGTTCATCAACGGCTCTTATCAAAATTGAAATTATTTCTACACCTCCTGTGCATCGCCCCATTCTTTGGGAATATTGCACCTCTTATGACTTTGGACATCTTTATTTCTACCAATACCTGTACCAGTATATATGGAGTTTCCCTATCTTTCTACTACTTTGTATGTATGTATGTATGTATGTATGTATGTATGTATGTATGTATGTATGTATGTATGTATGTATGTATGTATGTATGTATGTATGTGTGTACTCACCTAGATGTGCTTGCGGGGGTTGAGCTCTGGCTCTTTGGTCCCGCCTCTCAACTGTCAATCAACTGGTGTGCAGATTCCTGAGCCTACTGGACACTCTATATGTATGTATGAGTGTATGTATGAATTCTGGTGGCCAAGAAACTCACCATGTCCATCTCTGAGATCTGGCTCATGCTGCGGACCTCTATGTCGATCTCCACGGTGGTGGGCTCGCCTGAAGGAGACACAGTCAGTGGGGTGAGACACAGATTGTCAGTGGGTGAGACACAGATTGTCAGTGGGTGAGACACAGATTGTCAGTGGGTGAGACACAGATTGTCAGTGGGTGAGACACAGATTGTCAGTGGGTGAGACACAGATTGTCAGTGGGTGAGACACAGATTGTCAGTGGGTGAGACACAGATTGTCAGTGGGTGAGACACAGATTGTCAGTGGGTGAGACACAGATTGTCAGTGGGTGAGACACAGATTGTCAGTGGGTGAGACACAGATTGTCAGTGGGTGAGACACAGATTGTCAGTGGGTGAGACACAGATTGTCAGTGGGTGAGACACAGATTGTCAGTGGGGTGAGACACAGATTGTCAGAGGGTGAGACACAGACTGTCAGTGGGTGAGACACAGACTGTTAGTGGGTGAGACACAGACAGTCAGTGGGTGAGACACAGATTGTCAGTGGGTGAGACACAGATTGTCAGTGGGTGAGACACAGACTGTTAGTGGGTGAGACACAGACAGTCAGTGGGTGAGACACAGATTGTCAGTGGGTGAGACACAGATTGTCAGTGGGGTGAGACACAGATTGTCAGAGGGTGAGACACAGACTGTCAGTGGGTGAGACACAGATTGTCAGTGGGTGAGACACAGATTGTCAGTGGGGTGAGACACAGATTGTCAGAGGGTGAGACACAGACTGTCAGTGGGTGAGACACAGACTGTCAGTGGGGTGAGACACAGATTGTCAGAGGGTGAGACACAGACTGTCAGTGGGTGAGACACAGACTGTCAGTGGGTGAGACACAGACAGTCAGTGGGTGAGACACAGACAGTCAGTGGGTGAGACACAGACAGTCAGTGGGTGAGACACAGACTGTTAATAAGAGAGACACAGACGAGTACAATTGATACAGTTGTAGTCATTGATACATTGATACAGTCACTGAGACAGACTGACAGGCAGGCAGGGAGACTGGGCACTTACAAACCCACCAGTAGAACAACATTCACACAACGGACAAGCTTTATGGATATAAGTGTAATATATATTAGCAATAATTCTCTCTCTCTCTCTCTCACTATCTCTCTCTCTCTCTCTCTCTCTCTCTCTCTCTCTCTCTCTCTCTCTCTCTCTCTCTCTCTCTCTCTCTCCTCTCTCTCCTCTCCTCTCTCTCTCTCACTATCTCTCTCTCTCTCTCTCTCTCTCTCTCTCTCTCTCTCAGGGTGCCAGAGGCGTGTTGGTCGTGCCAGTCTCCAGCAGATACACACGTAAACAAACACAAACATGAACAAACTTATACACTCAACATACACAACTACACAGGGACTATATTTGAACATGTATGAACAAATGAACTATTACGCACAACTCACACTAAAGGAAAATACATGTATTAGACTCAAAAGATAAATGCAAACACAAATTTTACTGACATGTTCCAACTACGACAGTCGTACGGGAGGGCAGTTGGGTAATTACAGCCCCATTGGCTCCCAACTGTGTTATCCATGACACTATACGCCTTACAAGGCTCCCAAGACGCGATACAAGGCCAGGTACAAGAGGTAAGGAAAGAGTTTAAGAATACACAAATACACCATTGCTGTATTTTGTATCTGGCGCGTGTTCCTACGGGAGGTGTTGCATGCATACATGACTTTCCCCTGCGTGAACAAATCCACAAGGGCCGTGACGAGGATTCGAACCTGCGTCCGGGAGCATCCCAGACACTGCCTTAATCGACTGAGCTACGACAGGGTTAAAAAGAGTTGACGAGTAGAATTGATACAGTTGTATCAACTCTTTTTACCCTGTCGTAGCTCAGTCGATTAAGGCAGTGTCTGGGATGCTCCCGGACGCAGGTTCGAATCCTCGTCACGGCCCTTGTGGATTTGTTCATTTGATTCATCACGTTAGTATTTCACCTGCGTCACTGTTGTTCCAGCCGTCACTGTTACTCCCATCATTATCACTATCGCCCCGTCACTATCATTATCGTCCCCATCACCAGGATCACAATCATCACCACCGCCAATGGTGACCCCCATATTACCCATTAAGAACTGGCAGGAAGAATACATCACTACACCACTTAGTAAGTGAAGTATAGAAGGTCAAAGCTCATAGAGAAGGTCAAGGCTGGATCAACAACCCTCCCTCCTCCCCCCCCCACCCTAAGATCCTATCCCTGAAGTAACTATGATTAGTCCAACTACTTGGACTGGACGGTAGAGCGACGGTCTCGCTTCATGCAGATCGGGCGTTCAATCCCCGACCGTCCACAAGTGGTTGGGGCACCATTCCTTTCACCCGTCCCATCTCAACTCTATATCCTGACCCCTTCCCAGGTCGCCTCAATATAGACACCCCAACCGGGGCCAGAACCCCCCACCACGACCATTGCCTCCAAAAACAGTTCCTGAAGGACCTTACCTCCAAACGAGGGCCGGAGCTTCTGGTCGTAACCCTCCAGCAGGTTGTCGAGGAGCTTGGAGATGTTCTTGGAGGGGGTGATCTGTCGTACACCCCCAGACCTGTGGGGGGGGGAGGGAGAGGGAGAGAGAGAGAGAGAGAGAGAGAGAGAGAGAGAGAGAGAGAGAGAGAGAGAGAGAGAGAGAGAGAGAGAGAGAGAGTGAGAGAGAGAGAGAGAGAGAGAGAGAGAGAGAGAGAGAGACAGAGAGAGAGAGAGAGAGAGAGAGACAGAGAGAGACAGAGAGAGAGAGAGAGACAGAGAGAGACAGAGAGAGATAGAG